AGAGGTCCCTTTCCTCCCCGGTGCAGTTGACCTCGTCCAACCAGATCTGTCCCGTCCCTTCTCCGTACCGAGTTCCTGGTGCCACCGACAGCACCGTCCCGCAGCCCAGCTGCCGGCACACGACCTGGCCCTCGGGGGAACCCCAGCCGTCGTCGCACACTGTTCCCCACGTCCCATTGTGGAACACCTCCACCCGCCCAGCACAGCTGCCAGGGCCACCCACCAGGCGAAGGAGCCTCCCTGGGCTGTCAGCAGCTGCGCCTGCAAAGCCAGGAGGGGAAAGAGGAGGGGAGTTGAAATCCTGGGGGTGAATGGGGCTCGGCTGCTTGCATGTTTGAGATGGCTCCTGCTCCCCAAAAAGGGTTTCAGAAGAGGTGCTGACCATCCCACACCTGTCCTGAGCATCTCAGATGGCCCTGGGCATCTGTTTGTAGGCAACTGAGCCCCATCTCTGCATCTAAATTCCTGAATTTAACCATCTTAACCTCAGTGGAGATCCCACACCCCAGGAGCCCTTTTCTTGCTCGTGTAATAGGCAGAAAAAATGGATATTTGAGCTTATGCATGTTTTTGTAGAAGCAGCCATCAGCAAAGATGTAGCTTCACCATCAAGAGTGGGTAATGCCTTCGGGTCCAGCTGAGCGGCGAGCTTGCAGGGCTGACTGGAAAAGTGCTCGAACTAAGGGTCTTGGCAATGTGCAAGACCCACAGCATGAGACTGCCGCTGGTCCCATAGGCATGCTTTTGCAAGAGCTCTAACAAAAGGAAGACCGTGCAGCAAGGAACGGTAACTGGATGTTGGTCACGTGGAGAGCTCAACTGGGTCAGCAGAAAAAGTTCAAGAGGGATATGATTGCGTTGTGTAAATAAGCTTTTTGACCATGGATAATGATTTCTGAAGTGCTCAGGCACTGATCTGTGCGCAGGTCTGACCATCGGCAAGCAAGGGGCCAGATGTAGGACTTGGGAAGTCACAGGGGCCAGAAAAAGGACAAAACAGGTTAAAAATCAAGTCCCTGAGTCCTTCAAATATGACAGCATTTGAGCAGCTGTGGCATGCTGTGTGCAGGTGTGCATAACTCAACTCTTTCATTCGGGCTGCGCATCGGGGAGTGGGAAAGCGTCTTTGCAATAGGGCGTCTTTGCAATAGGGCGTCTTTGCAATAAAGCCCCTCTGCAATAAAACCCCTTTTCAAAGCCACCCCTCAAAATTCATTTCTACGAGGAACGATGAACCAGATGCATTGCAGGCACTCAGTCTCCCATTTGCAAGCTCTCCTGTCCCCAGGCTAAGAGCACAGTCCTGATGATGGCTGGCTCTTCTTTTTCATCCTTTCCCTGCGTGCCTTTTGCTCTCCTTCCTTATTTTTACTAGGAGCGATGAGGCTACCCTGTGATAAGCAATAAATCAGCCCCGCAGCTGAGACTTATCAGAGCTGATAGATTTCTTGGCGTGTTTCTTGCAAGCGCTGCCCGGTCATGTGTGCATCGACTGTGGTTGGGTGGACAAATCCCAGCACAGGTGACTCCATCCAGCCAGGAGATGCTGACTGGAGATACTGACTGTTGAAGAGGCAAACACCATACTGTAATTTCCAGGTGCAGGATTTCCACAAAAAAGTGGGAAGATTGTACTGTTTGTGAACAGATCAACAAAGGAGGAGAAAACCCAAGCAAGTTAAAGCAAAATTTTAGTTCCAAGAGGCAGCGGTACAAACTGGCCTTAGGAACTAATCATCCTGGAAATGAAAATGAAATCCCTACCAGCAGGGAAAGCATGTTCCTAATTTTGCTCACTCCAAACCTGATCAAAAGATGAGTGTTTCTGCTCATGCCCTTTGTAAATGTGAAACAGCACTAAGAAGGTTGCCCAAATCAAATAACCCGTTTCTGTTCTGAGCTGGGGCAGCCTGGGCAAAGCCCTGAGCCCTTTCTTAACCATTTCCAAAGTGAAGCTGCTGTTGAACGCTCGGCATGATATTGCTCTTGCAGCAGAGCTCTTCCCCATCCCTGCACCGATGTCTGAGAGCAAACCATGGCTGCAGATAAGGGACCTGCAGGGTCTGTGGCTTCCTTACAGCTCTGTCTGAGCACAAGTGTCATGTCTCTTGCCAGCATCTTGCCTCTCTACCCCGTTAGCCCAACAAATATTCAGTGACTTGTACTGCACAGCCATGAGCCACCCAGCCTTGTCCTGGCAATGCGGGTCCCTACTTGCTCACCCCTCCGTCATACAGGGAGCCGCCCTCTTAATGCACAGCGCTGTTGGGTTCGGCTAAGCCCTCTCAGTGCTGCAATACCATGAGTTTGCCATGCACAGTCCGGTATAAGCCAAGATTAAAGCAGGACAGGACAATGTGGCCAGCTGAGAGACAGCTTCAGAATTGGGCATGCTTCCCTCCACTGTTGTAATGCCCACAAGCCTTTAATTATGGGCCACAAGCCTTTGATTATGGGGCAAAATCATGTGTGCAGAAGTAGGTCTGCAATGCATGGCTCTTGGAGTGCAGCAGAGAGAGCTGAGCTCCAGACTTCACATAAAACGCCTTTCACCCACCTCCAAAGCCATCACAAGTCATTCTCCCCTGCCCCAGACCCCCAAGAGAAACCCAGCACCCCCGACCAGCCTCTGCTGTGCTCCATGAAGTGCTAGCCGAGCAGGCTGGAGGAGCAGATGTGGCCAATGGGGTCCCTGCAATCAGCAGCGAAGGCGAACGCCACTCACCCCAAAGGCACGCCATCAGGAGGAGGGTCCCCACGCTCTTGGCCCCAGTGCGGGTGGGTTGTTTTCTCCCCCCGGGGCAGCTGGATGAGGGATGGAGACTGCTCAACATCCCCATGTTCGCAGCCTGGCCACAGGCTGGAGACTGGAGTGGACTGTCCTTGTGAGAGATGCCAGCTGAGCCCAGTGTCCCACTGGGCAACTGGGAGGGCAAACTGGGATTTCTGCAGCGAGCCCTCCTCTTCCTCCACCCTGCTCCCCCCGGGAGTTTCACTTCCTATGAAGCTCTGCCAGGAGGTGACCTGCTGCCCCATGCAGCGGCCAGTCTTGTCATCGGCTTGCGAAATGGCAAGCTGTTCCAGGAAAACATGAAGCAAACAACCCTCTCGACACTCGGGTCCCGTCCCGTACGTGCCAGCCCCTGCGGGCGCTCGGCTGCCCTGACGCATCCTGGTACAAGATACCTACTTTTGACAAATCAAGCCTTTATGCACAGAACTGGGGAAACAGAGCTATGTTACCTTCATTAGAAAGTGTCTGGTTGGGTTTTGGGGGGTGAGGGACCATCCACTGCAAGAAAACAGCTTATTAAAGGCTGGAAATGGCTTTATTGTGGAGGCTGGAACCAGCACCTGCACTGTAGCTGTTTGTCATCAGGTGAGCCTGGACACCATCTGTGATGAGAAAGAGGTCTTGCACCCACCTTGTGATGCTTTGAATGGCTCGGTCGGATTTCAAAAACACGGGGAACTGTCATTTTCTTATTCTACTGTGGCTGCACTTGCAAGACCCCAAGGGTCCCTTTTGGATTAGCAGTTTGCTTCACAGTTGCTGTTACGCAGATGAAGCTCCAGGCACATCCCTTGCAAATCGCTGCTCCAAGCATGTCCCAAGATGCCAAGAAGATGGAAGAGTTTGCTGTCCTCCCATCCCTTCATGGTGGCACGCTGAAGTTGTGAAAGGAAAGGGCCTGAAACCAGAGCAGCGTGCCACTGGAAAAACTGAGTTTTGCAAAAGGGTCATCAAATTAACATCACTTGTTGCCCTGAATGGGAGGGTTCAGATGGAGGTGGGTGTTGTGCTGGTGGTGCATTGAAGCTGGGGCTTGCATTGGGCAAGGATGTGAGCCCTTCCAGAAACAGGGTGGATGGTTCTGCCCATGTCTGTGCAAAAATAAGAAGCAAAACTGGAGCACCAGCATGGCCAGGAAGGTCTCAGGCTGAGTTTAACCTGTTCAGCCTGGCAAAACCTGAGAGGGGTAGTAGAGTGGAGAGTAAATTGCTGCCTGTAGGAAGACCAAACAGGAGAAACCCAAACCCCAGAGGTGTACAGAGCTAGGACTGAAGACCAAAAGGAAAAAAGAAGTCTACTAAACAAGGATACAAGAATGAGTGGGTAAAAATTAGGCTGGAAACAAGTCAAAACTCATCTCATAAAAAGTTGAGCAGCCAGGAAAGGTGGCTGTATTCATTTGTACCGAGGCTCAGTGAGCCCAAGGACTTTGTTCCCCTTCTTTGCAAACAAACAGGCCAGCAACAAAGAGATTCCCGACACTGACCGGCGTGGAAATGCTGTGAACTGTCATAGCCTGACATGGCCAATGTAGCTCCGGGCAAAGGCATTTCTGCTGGGGCTATTTTCACAGTTTGGACAAACAGCCACTCTGGAAGTGAGTCATGGTCCTGTGTCCCTTCTGCTCCTTTTGAATTTCAGTGTTGGGTCCCCCTGGGAAGTCTGAAAAAACCCTTCTTGAGATACTGCAGACCCTGCAGAGCATCTCTGCATAGTAGTCCACGGCCTGAGCTTGGATCTAGTAGGTGCTCGTCCTGCACGTTGGAGCCATAAAGAGCCTCAACCCATCCCAACTTTATTACAAAGACCTTCTCCAAACGGTGCACATATTTTATTGCATAAAACTGGGTCCAAGCTCCTGTTTTCCCCTGTTCTGAGGACAGCTAGGAGGAGCCCTGGGCCTTTGAGATAAACTTTGGGACAGGCAAGGCTGGAGGACCAGGTCTGCTGGGGCAGCCAGCAGGCAGATGAGAAGGCTCGGGTACTAGCAGGAGGATGAGAAACCCTGAATTTCCAGGAGTGATGGATGTCTGTAGAGGAGTAGAAGATGACCTTGGGGCCATGCATTGACAGGAGACACCCAGCCAGGGATGCTCTATGACTGGGGCTTAGGACAGGTAGCAAGAAGCAAACTGGTCACAGCTGCCAGCCACTGGCTGGGAGGGAAGGAGAGGTGGGAGGCTAGACCTGAAGGGCATTGAAATACATGTTGTGGCTCTTTCATTACGTGTGTCTTCTCCCTGCTGCCTTTTGCATTGACTCTTCCCTTCCATGCCCTTGTGCGGAGATCAGCTTGGCTCACAAGGCACGCCTTCATCACAACCTGGTCAAGCTTGTGGTCCCTTCATTCTCTCCCCATGACACCGGGACGTTCCTCTGACCATGGCCTCTCCTGGCTTCACCAAAGTGGTGGATAGTTTGGGGCTCAGACCTGACTCCATGGGTCGCTCCATTAGGAACATGGCCCTTCCTTGTTGGTGGCCAGGACAACATCTCACCCAGCGTTAGCAATCTTGAGTCTCCTGTATCAGAACCCATCATCTACAATCCCTTTATAATCAAGGGGCCTATTCTTCCACCACTTCCACCTCACCAAGTCACCCCATATCCCTGAATCTGTATAATGCTGCATTCTTGTTCTCTCGGGTTTCAGGGTTTTTACTGGTATTTAAAAGTGGATTGAATAAATACAATGGGTGAGGGTCTTCTCACCCTGTTCTGGACGGGCTTTTAAGTGTACTCCTCATTTTGCAAAGGTGGTTGTGTACAGTGCAGGAGAGCACCCTGCTTGCTTGCTCCTGGATCAGGCAGTAATCCTCACTTCCATGGGAGATTAGGGGAAAAGGTATGATCCCATTGGGAATGCGGTGAGGGTGATGGCACTGGGTGCCACTGCAGATGACTCGGCAGGGGATTACAGGGATTATAGTGGTTATAGGGCTGGGAATAAGAGGGGTCTGTGCAGATGGGGTTAGGATGCTGGAGCCTACCCGGAGGACCAGAGAGGGGTTATTCTGAGAAGAATTTGCTTGGAGACTGAGGGACTTTGCGGTGCTGCATGGAGGAATTGGGACCCACAGAGGCTCAGCGCAGTGAGCTGGGGGCTATAGGGCACACAGGGCAGGGGTCTCTGCTCTGCTAGAGGGGGTCCTCTCTGATGACCATTGCAGCAACTGCTCGGCTCTTCTGGCTCCACAGAACGGGGTCTTCTGGGGTCCTGAGGGAGCCTTGCCTTCGACACCAGGAGCGTGGCTGCCTAAGCCTCGGATGATGTCCCAGTGTCCTCTGTCTTCTGTATAAGTGGCTTGTCTGCAAAATGAAGGAGCAGGGTGATGCATGGAGGGTGCCAGACCCAGGTTGGGGGGCATCCATGCCAGCCAGGAGTGCAGCCAGCTCCACAAGCAGGCCAGGTGCACCACGTGCTGTGCTCCTGCTCTTACCCGGGGAGCGTCCAGCCCGTCTTCCACACCTCGTCCACAGGTACAGCACCAACAAGGTCCCGCAGAGCATTGCCCCCATGCCGAGCAGGCCTGCCAGCACCGAGCAGGACTGTATAAGGTCTGTGGGAAGAGTGAAGCTCAGAGGGGGTTGGCTGGATGCCCCGATCACCCTTCCCTTCTGCTGCATGTTTTTGGGGACTTGCAACACCCTCCCTCACTGCCCTCCTGGGTGCTGGGGCTGACCGTCATCAGCAGGAGTGACAGCTCACCCTCTGCTTTGGGAGGGTGGGTGCATGGTGCCCACCTAACAGCTCCCGGAAAAAAGGTTTATGGCAACGCTTCTGCCTGCCTGGGAGGAAGCCAAGAATGGGATGGAGATAGGAGCCTTTACGCCACTGTGTGTCTGTACCGGGTTGGACCTGATGCAGATAGAGCAGATGACGGGGGATCCCAGCACTCACCTTTCTGCTCTGTGCACACCACACTGGCTGTGAAGCCCTGCCTGCACGGCCCCAGCCCCATGTCTCTCTGCTGGCACTCCAGGAGCAATGACTCGGTCCCCCGGCAGCTCAGCCCCTCCAGCAAGGCATGGTCATCCCCCTGCCTGAGCTGGGCTCCGACGGGCGCCGACTGGGCTGGCCCACAGCCCAGCTGCCTGCAGACCACCCCGGCTTCCAGCAAGCTCCAGCTGCTGCCGCACACCCTGTGCCAGGTAGCGTTGTAGAGCACCTCCACCTGCCCCGCGCAGGAACCGGGACCATCTTTCACCCGCACCTGCAAGGGGTTTGTGCCTGCAAGGAAAAGCGCAAGGGGGTGAGGTGGCCTCTCCAACCCCATATGGTGATGAAAGGTTCTGACTTACTCCCAGGCATTTTTTTCTGGTGCCCTGCTGAAGGCAAGCCACCAGCACCCGTGACCAGCTACAAGGCATGGATTGCCTTACTCCATCCCCTTGTACAAGATGCCTTAATAAGCAACATCACCACAGGGCTGGTATCTGTGAGATGGGGCTTATGGGAGACCCACACGCACCCTGGTGGCACTGGACTTCTGTGTCTAGGAAAGGTGCGCCTGGATTATTTTTTTTTAATCAAGGCTTTGCCCATCCCAAGATGCTGTCATTGATGAGCTAGAGAGACATAACCTAGATTAAATCGATATGAGTTAGGTGTATAACTCCTGTCTAAGACAGGGTGGCAGTTTTGCTCAACTCCAAGTCAAGTGGCTGGGTGAAAGCTGACTTCTGCTCTGCTGCTGGGGATGGGGAAGAGTGAGCAGAGAGGAGAGAGCCTGGCACAGCCCTGGGGTAGAACAGCAGCTCCAGCACCCGTCAAGCCCCACCCTTGGATGGACACCAACCATCCTGGCTCACCTGCCCCAGCCCCTGCAGCCTGGTGTTACCTGAGCACACCACACCAGCATCCTCGCTGTGGCCACAGTTGTGCTCTCCCCAGTTGCTCAGCTCGCACTCGGTGAGGGCAGACTCAGTCCCTGTACAGTGAATGCCGTCCAGCCAGATGGGGTCTGACCCTGGCCCAAAATGAGCTGAGCCCGGTGCTGACAGTGCCAGCCCGCAGCCCAGCTGCCTGCACACGACGGCGGCATCGTGGAGATCCCAGGTGTCATCGCACACGGTCCCCCACTTCTGTTCGTGAAAGACCTCAACTCTCCCCAGGCATCTGTTGGAGCCATTTGCCAGCCGCAGTGGGTGCTGCCCCAAAGTGTCCGCATCTGTGAAGGGAGCAAGGGGCACGTTCATGCCTGACCATCATCCACGGCTCCAGTTGGGCTTTGCGACATGCTAAGCCACGGGAAAATCAGAGCATCCTTCCGCACATGCAGCCTCTGGCTGCCTGGGAAGGCTGCTACACAGACAGGGCTGGCTTGGGATTTGCTTCTCATTGGGGTGGATAAAGAGGGGTCGCAGATCCAGAGCTTGGGGTTTGGAGCCTGACAAAGGGTTCTGGGGTCAATAGTGACTATGGGAGGGTCCTGGGGTCAGTAGTGACTATGAGAGTTGGTAGGAGGCATTGCCTGATGAATTTGTGTAGCTGGAGCTATCAGAAAGGGGAGAGGTAGGAGAAGGGCTTGCTCTCCCTGCACAAAATCATCCTAACAGCATGCTGGGGTCACACAACCTGCACCAACACAGGGAAGAGCATCACCCACTGTGGCATTCATAGCCTTCTCTTGATTTATTTTTTTAAACCAGAGTGGGGTAAAGGCACCCATCCCTGGCTACCTGGGACACAACTGAGATGATCCTGCACCCCAACCCGCACGGTACTTATCCCGACTAACGTGAATCACCTGAGCACACCACACCAGCATCTTGATGGTGGTCACAGCTGTTGGATCCCCATGGCCTGGCCTGGCATTCGGAGAGCGTGGCTTCTCCCGCTGTGCAGTTCACGTTATCCAGCCAGATGCGGCCGGACCCTTGTCCAAAGTGAGCCGAGCCCGGGGCCGAGACAGCCGTCCCGCAGCCCAGCTCCCGGCAGACCACCGTTGCCTCAGCCAGGCTCCAGCCGTGGTCGCACACCGTCCCCCACTGATGGTGGTAGAACACCTCCACGCGCCCCGCGCAGCGGCTGGGGCCGTTCTCCAGGCGGAGGCGAGCTGGTGTGTTGGTGGCTGTGCCTGCTCGTGACACAAGATACAAGGGGAGCGTCAGACCAGGTCTCCCCCAGGGTGCGTCTTCTTGCCACCATGGTGAGACCCATGCTGGAGGATGCTGTGTTTTGCACAGGGAGTTCCCATGTCCACAGAGAGCCATTGAGGAATATCTAAAGTTTGGGGCTAACCATCTCAGGTGCAAGCAAAACCAGAGGTGCAACCTCGGAGCCCGTGTACATTCAACATGAGTACAAACAAACCATAAACAGCTGCAATCCATTTTTTTTCAGTCCTCCCAGATGGCCATCCATGAACCCTTCATGTGGCTGCAGCACCCCCCCCCGATAGGAGAGACTTTCTGCAGACCCCCATTGCCACTGCCCCTTCTTCAAAGAGACTTCAGGGCCCCACCCACCCCATCTTTGCACAGCCCGTGAGCTACTGGTCCCCATAGTGTGGTGGGTTGGGACCTTGCTAGGAGCATCTAGCACCCAGTCCGGTGCTTCCCCTCTCTCCTCGGTGCCCACGCGAGCGCACTTTTTGCGTGCTGCCCAAAGGGCATCGTTCCCTTCCTGTTATCCCTGCTGCTCCTTGCTTTCACAGACCTGTGTGCTAAAGAGTGCCGGCATGGCATGTTGTAGGAGATGGAACAAGGGGGACAAGGTCACCCACCCAGGTGTCTGCTGCCCAGCCCTTGGCTGCAGCTGTGAAACCAGTACGAATCCCCAGAGCAGAACATCCTCTACTGAACTTCTCCTCCTGGTCCGCAAGCATGTTACCTGTACACGTGACGCTGGCGTCTTCTCCATGGTCGCAGTTGTTAACACCCCAAGGTCTGGCCGGGCATTCAGACAGAGCAGCTTCGGTCCCACTGCACTGAACGTTGTCCAGCCAAATGGGGCCCGATCCCTGGCCAAAGTGAGCTGCGCCGAAGGCTGAGACCGCCGTCCCGCAGCCCAGCTGCCGGCACACCACATTGGCATCAGGGAAGCTCCAGTCGTCATCGCACACGGTTCCCCACTGATGGTCGTGCATCACCTCTACTCTTCCAGAGCAGTGGTTCGGGCCGTTCATCAGGCGGAGCTCTGCAGGACTGGTGTGGATGGGCGTATGGTGGCTGGATGAGTCTATGGAAGGCATGAGAGGTGGACCATGAAAACCCCCTTGCCCCTCATTTCTGCAGGACCATTTTGCACCCCACTACAGTTGTTGGCTACACCCAGTTGCTACCAACGTGCAGCCACCTCGAGACCGGGATGGGGGTGATGCCACGTGTCCGAGCAACGCGTGGTCTTTCCAGCGGTGGCTGGAGGTCCTGAGGATGCTGTGACGGGAGAAAGAGGAAAGCCTTTTTTCCTGGTGTTCATGGGGCACCACGTCCTCTTTGCACAAGGAGGTGACAACCGGGCGGGCTCAGCATACCCATGTGCCGTTGTCTGTTGGGACAATTCTGGCACCGGTGGCTCCAGCATCTATCAATTGCCGTGAGTGCCTGCACCTCTATCAGCCACCAAAGCTCCAAGCTTTTGGGAGATCTAGGCTTTTGGAGCCTCACAGTTTGTGGCCATAAAAGAGTGTTCTCTAGCTGATTGTGGCTTGCCAGAGGCAAGGGCATGGAAACCATCTTGTCTCTCGTGTTGGTGATGCGGAGGAGGAATCTGGGTGTCTCCTCCTGGCCATTCTCTCCCCTGCCTAAGGCTGTGTCTCACAGTGCCAGCCCGCAAAACACAAGGGGTCTCTAGCCCTGCCCGTGTCCCCACAGCAAGGCAGACGGGGTCCTGCTCACTGCAGAGGTGTGTGATGTGCAAAGGGTCCTACGCCTCGCCCAGAGGTGGTTCAGCATCTCAGGAAGGTGGAGTTAGCACAGATAATGGTTCCAAGCCTCCTTCCCAAATTGCTCACTAGCCTGCAGTCCCTCATATGGGACAAACCACAAAACTATCCCTTGCTGTGGCCGTGGGTGCTCTGTGCCACAGGGAGCTTTTGGAAAATTCGGGGGTGGGAGGAGAAAACACTCATTGCGAGGGAATTGCTTTGCAGCCCATGTGTCATCATCCTCCCCGCCCCATAATTTCCGCTGGGCATTACCTGAGCACACCACGCTGGCATCTTCGCCATGGTGGCAGTTGTTCTTTCCCCAGCCCTTCGTCCTGCAGTAAGACAGGGCGACCTCCGTCCCTGTGCAGTTGACGTCGTCCAGCCAGATGGGCCCAGACCCTGCCCTAAAGTGCCCGGCCCCGTGGGCTGACAGCGCCGTGCCACAGCCCAGCTGCCGGCACACCACGCCAGCATCCTCCAGGTCCCAGTGGTCATCGCATACTGTTCCCCACTGGTTCTCGTAGAAGATCTCGACCCTACCGGCGCAGCGGTGCGGGCCATCTGACAGACGGAGGGGAGCCCGCTGGGAAGCAACCGGGTCTGCAAGAGGGATACGGAGAGGGTCTGGTGTGGAAGAGCAGCCCCGGGAAAGGCTGTGTCGCTTCCATGAGCTTCGTGGACCCTCTGCAAACAGCAGTGGCTTATGTGAACCACGGATGTGCTTCTCCTTTCACTCAAAGCCAAACCGAAAAAAAAAAAATCCAAGTCCGGGAGAGAAAATGCTCTGCAAACCCCCTTTTTTTGAAAGACGATTGTCTTTAAAGCGGCTTCAGATATTTTTTTGCGTAGTATTCCCAATCAATGAAAAGGAAAACACTGCTAGCTGGACTGAAAACTGCAGGAAACTGTATGTAGGGAGTAGCTGCCAGCCATCTGATGGAAAGGGGGGTCTGTCTGTCTGCAGCCTGGTGCTTTAATTAGTGATTTGCAGGCTGCGATTGGGAGCCTGTGCGGCAAATTGGCCCACGGCCCCTAGCCAAGCGGAGCTGCATCTTAGAGGAGGGCATTGCATGGGCTGAAACTACAGCAAGAAAGGTAAATATAAGGTGTTTAATCGTCGTGGCAGTAAGTGCTGGAGTGCCCGAGCCGCTGTGGGATGCCTGGGGTGGGGTCTGGGTAGAGGCTGCAGCATCTCCTGGAGAAGGGGATGCAAAATGAGGCAGGCAGAGGCAGAAAAAAATAAGAAAAGCACCTCGGCATCCCACTTGCACCACAATTGGTCACCTCCTGGAAAGCCTTTGTGTTTGCAGGGTGCAGAGCAGAATAAAGGCTCCTGTTTGCGCTGGGGGAAGAGGACTTTGTGCCCTTTGTAAACAAACTGGCCGGCCCTGACGAGGTGGCCAACACAAATAAGCAATTTCTGGTCTTGACTGTCACCACTTGGTAAGGCTCCAAGCGTTTCCCAACCTCTCTGTGGAAGGGCAGCAGTGCAGAGGCCAGGATAATTCCCTGGCTAACAAGGTCTCCTTCCCCATTCACCACTTTCTCTTGCTTTTAAAGGCTGGTGGGTCAAAGGAGGCTTTGCCCCATCCATCTGCAAGCCCAGTCCCCCCGTTCCTGCAGGTCTCCTACCCCGTCTTTCTCCTAGGATGCTCCTTCCCCATGCAAGAGCCACTCACCACAGAGGCACACCAGGTAGATGAGGAGCCCTGCTCCGGCGAAGCCAGCCAGGTTGCTGTGCAGGGACAGGAGACAATGTCCCGAAAAACCCATGGCTGTCACATACGCTTTAGGACAGGTGAGTGTCCCAGTGTGAGCTGCAAGCTGAGCTGGGTGCTGTCGCTGCCGGGAAGGTGGCGAGAGCAGGTTTGTTCCCTCCTCTGCAGCAACATGCCCCGTGTTTGCTCGGCGCTCATCCCTCCTCCTGCGCTGACCCCTCCTCCCTGCTGTCCCCAGGATTTTGCCCTCTGGTTTTAAGTGGTTTAAGTGCCTCCCCAGCACCCAAGCCGTGTCTGCTAGGAGGCTCCCCCTATTCCCAGCTGCATCTGCCCCGTTTCATCCCCACCTTCCCAGTCCCCAGCCAGCTCCTGTGGATCCAGCAGCAAGAGGGTTTGCAGTGTTCACTTACAGAGGTTTGCACCCTCGGGAAAAGCCGAGCCCCATCTTGCAGGTATCCAAAGATGAACCCCTGCTATACAGAGATACCTCCAGGGTGCTTGCAGAGGGCAAGAAGACTCCTTTCCCCTGCCAAAATAAGGAGGTTCGAGGGGTTGTGTACATTGAATAGCATGCTCTGGGTGGAGTCTATCCCAAAGTCACGTTGCTGAAGCCATCACGTGTATAAAATGCACAGCCTGTGTTCTGAGAGTATCACATATTGTAGAGAAGAAGGGGAGGAAGGTCCAGAAACCGGGCTGTAGCCACTGAGATTAAGCTGCAAACATGCTCAGGCTTTGGGCACCCCTGTTGCATTGACTCTCAGCCTGAGTTTAAGGGAGTTTACAGACCGATCTCTGAGGCGGGCAATGGTTTAGCACAAACCCCTGGGCCACAAAAATGATCAAGGCCACAAAAATGATCCGAGGGCTGGAACACCTCTCCTATGAGGAAAGGCTGAGAGAGTTGGGGTTGTTCAGCCTGGAGAAGAGAAGGCTGCAGCGTGACCTTAGGGTTGCAGCCTTTCAATACTTAAAGGGGGCCTACAAGAAAGCTGGGGATAGTCTTTTTAGCAAGGCCTGCTGTGACAGGACAAGGGGTAATGGTTTTAAACTAAAAGAGGGGAGATTTAGACTGAACACAAGGAAAAAATTTTTCATGACGAGGGTGGTGAAACACTGGCAGGGGTTGCCCAGAGAGGTGGTAGGTGCCCCAACCTTGGAAACATTCAAGGTCAGGTTGGACGGGGCTCTGAGCAACCTGATCTGGTTGTAGATGTCCCTGCCCATTGCAGGGGGTTGGACTGGATGGCCTTTAAAGGTCCCTTCCATCCCAAAGCATTCTGTGATTCTGTGATCCCCATGCTCATGCTATAATTTGGGTTTTCAGTGAATAGCCTTGTCACCTACAAGCAGCAGGATGGGGTGAGGGGATGACTGCGGGATGACTTGCAGGCTTTTGCCCCCCAAGGCTGGGGTTGGAGGCATGGCTATGGGGCAAGGAGCCTGCCTGGTCCCTGGGGCTGGTGCAAGGGAAGCAGAGCATCGCCGAGCCCTGGGACCAGGACACTGGGCCAAGTGGGCTCCTGGCCGTGCCATTATCAGAGATGATGGAGCTGGGCACATTCATGCCTGGCAGAGGGAGCAAAGAGGGGAGCTCAGCACCTCCCAACGCTGCAGCCAAAGACCCTGCAGCCCCTTTCCCTTCTCAGCTCCTGGCCAGGGAGGAAGGTCACCCATCCTCCAGAGATGAGTCCTCTCCTCAAACCCCCTCCCTGGGCTGTCTCCACTCAAATCTAGCCTGCAGCCCCCCGCAACACCAGGCACAATGGACAGCAGCCATCGACATTTCTGAGATGACCCTGTGGGGCACATGCCTCCTCTTTATGGCTGTGAGATGGGAAATGGCTATGTCCCATTCAGTCCATGCTGGGCTGCTGGCTCCCCAGGGCCACAGGCTCCCACAGCTGTGCAAGGCGAGCTAAACCAAATATAAAGAGTCTCAGCAAAAAAAGCAGTCCTGAAAGGATGCTCGGTGCTGCTCCCAGTGAGGAATGTGGCCTGGGAAAGGGCTGCCTGAGCACATAGCACTGGCATCTTCCCCGCTGTGGCAGGAGCCTGCACCCCAGGGCTGAGCTGGGCACTTGGAGAGCGCAGTTTCTGGCCCCATGCAGTCCCCGTTGCTCAGATGGATACAGCCCGGGCCCTATATAAAATCCTTACTGCTTTATGGTGGAAGATGACCATTAATTTTCAGCCTTTTGCGGCTCCAAAGTTTAAGCCTTTCCTAAAGAGAGCTCCCCCATCTTTTCAATTCACCTTTCATGCCAAGAAGAGGAGCCCCAAAGGCTTCCCTGCCCACTTCCAGCTCCCTGTAGTCTGAACATCATCTTAGGGGCTGCAGGAAGGTTTGCTACCCCCCGCCAGTAACTAAGGTGCGGCCCTTGGCGTGATGCAGCATGGAGGCACAATGTCTTGCCCCCATGATTTGCTTGCACAGCTGCTAGTACCCTTCAACCTGGAAACATGAGCCCGGATGGTCCAACAGCTCCTTGTGGAGCCATGTAAGCACGATGCAAGAACAGTGAAGCCAGAAGAACAGCGTGAGATTGCATCCCTGTAGGCTTGCATATGATGGGCTGGGTTGTGAAGGCCTGCAAGGTGTGAAATGCATGATGTTCATGAAATCACTGATGTCCAGGGTAAATAATTTTTGGCTAGTAACACAGTACACAAAGGGGAAAAAATAAAAAAAACAAAACAGTGCTCCACTTTCAGCATTGCTATCCCAGCAGCTGCATTTTGAAACCCAACCCTCACTATATTTTTTGAGTGCAAGTGAAAAGGGGGCCGCGTGTTCATGCTGTCAGTGGTGGGAGGGTGCAAGAGCTTTGCAGACATCACCGTTTGGAGAGGCTTGGACTGCAAGCCCCTGCCGACATCCCTCGCAGACCCTTTTTTAAGGGTTATGTGAAGCAGAGACATAGAAGCAAGTTTGGGGTTGGAGGATGCCCATTTTGACCAAGTATTTGACCAAGAGATCATTGTATAACTTACCTTTAACTCTTACTGTAACTCCTGAGTAAGAGCTAAAGGCCAGTTAAACAGCATTGCCTGCCGGGTCTGAGAAGTGCTCGATCCAACCCATCCCATCAGTGGCAGGGGAGATGGGGTCAACATGCAAACCAGATCCCTTCTGATGGCCTCCAACCTCCTGGCATCCAGACTTCTCGCATTAAGCAGGTTCCCTTTAGCATCTGCTTTTAGCCACATTGTTCACACTTTTGCCTGATTTCTCTTTGAACTAGCTGACAGCATCAGGCCCCACGAACCTTCCTGGGTCAGCAGCTTCCAGAAGCTCCCAGCCCTTTGTGCAGTCTTTGGACCCGATCTAGTTGCAGGACACCCTTCCTGAGACATGGTGACCAGCACTACACACACTAAAAGAACCAGGATTGTATATTGCAGTGAAATTATACCCCCTGTCTTGTCCTCAATGCTCTTCTTAGGGTATATACAACATTTTGTTGGGGTTTTTTGGCTGCTGCAGCACATGGAGATGATGATTTCAGAGAACTCATTTGCAGCTGGGTGAAAATGAGGTCTTGAAAATGAGTTTTAGAAAAGGAAAACATTCAAAGCCAGACATGGTGCACTATCATTTTTGTTACATCACATTGCATGGATGCATAGCTAGATGGCAGAAAATCACCTTATTATTTGAGGGCAAGCAGTTGGAAACACTATCCTGTGACTGCCCTGCCACCTTCCAAACTTGCTTGCACCTTCCAGGGAGAGCAAAGAGATCATGTATGTGCCAAGAGCTTAGCATCGCAAACTGTTCTCTGCAAGGTGGGGATGCAAGATGGGAGAAGCCATCAGGATCTCCTGTGGCTTGTTTTTCTCTGCTAACTGTTCTCAGTGACTGTAATGGCAGCCCAGCACAGATATCTGCACTTGAGCACTCGGAAGTCTTTGCAAATGACGGAGGTCTGCATGGGCCAGCATCTCCATGGTTCAGCCCACCATGGCTGATGCAATGTGGACTCATCTTGTGCTACCTCTCAGCCTTTGCATCTCAGCATCTTCCACTGATCTGAAGCATCCGAAATCTCTCATCCTCCCCTTCAACAACGAAGTAATCTGTTGCACACTCTGTCTAGATAAAGGTAAAGAAGAGGTCCCAGGGAATCACCTGAGCTGGGGAAAAATCCATCAGCCATAACAGGAGTGGAGGAAGCTCACAGCCTGAAAATTTTTAGTATCAATGGCCTGATGCTGGCAATTACGTGATTTTTCTCCTGATGCCCCTCTCCCGGCAGCCAGGCTGTAGGAATGGACCATCCCTGGATATCTGTGCTGCCATGTGCCCTGGCAGCCCTTCGGATCCACCCCAGAGCCCCTAAGAATCCTTGTGGTTCTGGATCCGCCACAGGCAGCCAAGCAGCTCCAGCTGCTCTCGCAGACCCTCCAGGGCCCGAATCCAGCCCCACCAGGGTGGGGATGGGGGAGGAGGTGGTACTGGGGAGGGACCTAAGCTGTGCTCAGTGTCATGGTCATGACTGGGGAATAGGGGAGCAGGATATGAAGCAAATCGCTGCCTGCCCAGACGCTGACCCCCCACCCCTCATCTGCCCATCTTTGGGTGTCCTCCATACTGAACCTCCTGCAAGGGCCACCTGAAGGAGCTCCCTCCCAGGGGATGATCACTGCAATGATACTCAGGAGACACAAAAATGGATAGCCCATTTAGAAGTATCTCTGTTAGCAAGGGCCATTGCCTTATTTAACACCCCACGGAGAAGGCAGTGCGACTGATGGGTCAGAAGTGTCAGCATCCTGGGGCAGCAGGGCATGGACCACAGGTACTCCCAGGGCCCAGTTGCAGAGGGCACTGAAAGGGACTGGAGGGACAGGCTGAAAAATGTGTGTAGGATCAGCACACCCCAACCCTGGATGTGTCAGAGACCTGGGTATGGGTGTCAGTTCCTTTTTGCAAGGTGCCCTTATGTCCCTCAGTGCTGTTAGACACATGCACTCAGCTACCCAGATCCCATTTCTACCCTTAAAAAGAGCTTTACCCCACTCCTAACCCTTTCTTGCCACCTCCATGGGCTTTAAACACAACCTGAAGGATGGGCAGGTTGTAGAGTCAAAGTTAGTGCCCAAGGAGATGTTGGGTGGTGGGTGGACTGCCTGTCCCACCACATTGGTGGCTGGATCTCCTGTCTCACCTCCCAGCCCTCTGCAAAGAGCCAACCGAGGATCCCTGGTCAAATATCCAGGTTGCATCAAACCGGAGCAACCCAGGCTTATCCAGAACAGCTCATCCACAGAGAAGATGAAGGAGCGGGAGGCTCTGCAGCAGGCTGAGATCACCACCCAGCCATGCATGGGAGGACCCTGGAGCTGAACTCCTCTAAACCGTGCCGGGAAAAGGCTGAAAAGGGAACTGTGCTTCCTAGGGTGGAGGTAGGTGGAGCGTAACTCTGGGCCACAGCTTTAGGAAGGAGAAGAAAGAAAAGCTAACTTTGCAAAGCCTGCTGCATCTCCATTACCCTCCTTAGGGTCATTAGGGGAACGACCGTGACCCTGCTCATTAGCAGAGAGTAGGACCAAGGCAGTCAGGGGTCAGCACTGGATGTTTTTGCGGCCTAAGGTAGAACTATTAATTCTGATGTATGTTTTCATCTCAAATTGCCTGAAATAAGGTGTGTTTCAGCTAAGGGGTGTTTCTGCAGCACGAAAGGGACCATGTGTTGCATACCCCAGGTCATGGTGCCAGGACCTGGGTGCCCAGTGGGACAAGACCTGCTGAGATAGCTTTGGGAGACTGGATAAGGGGTGAAGGATCCAGCCCTGCTGTAGTCCTTACCACCCTCCAGAAGCAGCCCATGGAGTGCAGGACATCTAGGGATGTCCTGGGGCTCTCAAAGCCAGGGAGAAACATAAAGCTGGTGTTACAGCAGAAGCCTTCAGAAGTGGAAACACAGAAGTCGGTGTAGAGGACAGGATGATAAGAGATGGGGCACACTGGAAAGCCCAAGGCTATCAGCAGCTCACTGATCATCAGTTTGCAGGCCTGGATCTGGACAAAAACAGTTTTAGCGGTAACAAAGAACAAGTACCCAACACAGAGAAAAAGCCTCCTACACAGTCAGTTTGGGTGCAATATTGATTTACGAGCAGATAAGGGAAGAACAAAGTATGAAAGTATGTCAGAAGACATGTAAATCTGAAAATGGAAGAAGGTGAGGAGGAAGAAGAAACCCCATCAACACCACACTCTTCACGCGAAAAAGCTTGGACCCCTGATGACGCACTGCCAGGCCCCCTTGCATGAGGAAGACGTGCCATTGACCTTCAGATTGAGGGAAGAGCAGAAAAGTGAGCATGGGACCTGGAAAAGTGGCAGAAACTAGGGAGTGTGTGCCCTGGGCAACTCCTTTTTAGTGCAATAGAGCCCAGGACTAACCCACATCCATGCAGGTATTAACTGAAAATTCCCAGTATCACCATCAACTGGACTATGAAATGTTCACGCAAGGCTTACTACAAGTTTAACACAAAGAGCTTCTACTCAGAGAAGCACTTCCACAAACCTTAAATGCTCCTCCGCACATACCACACCCATAGACTTGGCCATAGTCTTGTCTGGTCCTCCTTTGCAAGTGTCCTGCATGCTGTAGGATCAACTTTTACTCATCAGTTCTCTGAGCTTTTGGCCTGTTTGGGCTCTTCATGCACTCCTTGTTTCCCTTGGCAGATGCTTTCCACACATCGTGCAAGCCATCTTCTGTTTTCTGGCTTGGTCAAACCCCTCAGGGCACTCCAAGCCTTCATCTTCTAAGCCCCTGCGACCCAGCGTGCATCCCATTTCCTCTCTTCCCCTGCCTTGCAGATGTTCATGCTTTTACCCCACCACAGCCACTACATTGATCACATCACTCATCCTATTTCCCTCTGGTTGGCTACCTATCTATTTTCCTGGTCCTTCGTGAGCAGGACTGTCCTGCCAACACACCGCAGGGTGCTTGCATGGGGTCCTGCTTGGCCGCTTGTAGTCCCATACCACTTGGGTTGGCGTGAGCCGTGGTGGTACCCAGTGCTTATTTCTATGACCAGAGCTGCTTAAACCTCCTGCCAGCATCCCTCTGCACGGCTGACTCGCACCTCCATGCCCTCCAAGCCCTTCACAAGAAGCCCCTGTCCTCTCAGAGGCCCCAGGAGATGGATGTTCAAGGACACAAGGCACAGGAGCATGTTTGGGAATACAGCAGATGGAAGCGATCAGCAAGATCTAGTTGTCCTCATACAGATGCATCTAGTGACCTGTAGGTCCTTTGTCACGTTTGCCAGTCCCATATCAATGTCCTAGATCTAGGGCACGTTGGATGGCTCTAAATATCTACATGAGGCCTAGACCGAGCTTTCAGGTGGAGTTTGCAAACTGTTCAACTTAACCA